AAGATTTTGATATCCTTCCTGTACTTCAAGAAGACAGCTCATTGACCGGATTCAAGATTCCGGAAGGGTCTCGGGAAAGACTGTATATACTGAGTTCTAAACAATTTTTAGCTTCCCGAAATATCCTGAAACGAAAAAAAAATTACATCGAGTTCGTTTTCAGATAATGAGAATCTAGGAGTTGAGGGAAAAGGTTTTTTCATCTCCAATGGATATGAAGACTTTTATCTACTGAACAAAAACAATAGTAATATGGTAATTAGAGAAGTAGTCCTGTTTTTAGGAGTGAACTCGTGGTCTGGACTGAGATCAGGCCCAGCCATGAGCTCACTGTTTTCTCATTAAACTAATTTAATTTGCGCGGCCTGGCCGATAGCTTTAAGAAAATGATTTTGTCGACTCGATGTTAGTAGACCACACTTTGAATTGGATTTGGTAGAGACAGTGAAAAGCATGTGAAGCTGTGTTTAGACGCTAGCCAGTCGTTTTAGAATCTAGCTTTTTTTCCGTCGTTATGTACTCCCGGGCGAAGGTTACCCAAAGGTATCACGAATTTCTTTACGTCTTAGGTGAGTGAATCCACCTTTGGGGCAGTGTGAGAGTGGGTCAGTATGAACGGTTGTCCACGTGGGCATGTATGTGAAGTGTTTGGTGGTTCCCATCCATATCTGATATGTGAACCATCTTCAAACTCTGATTTGTCATAGGAAAATTTTACTTTTTTAAGGGTAGCCCGCTTAACCAGTTCGATGCTCCTTCCTGTGATGCTAGATTTATTGTCAGCTTTTTTTTCTTATGAGCTGTTTTCCAAAAGTTTAGCCTTTTTTGAGAGTATAATATTTTGTAACTCAGTTTTGATTTTTCTTTTTTTCAGAGTTTGCTCCAACTCAGTTCTTTCTGGATTACTGTTTTCTAACGGATCTCAAATGGCTCGTGGCCACTCATAGTTTCTGAAAAAGCCCGTGCTTCTGAGGAAGTCTAATCCTCCCATTGTTAGTGGTAGTCAAGTTTCGGTTTTAGATTAACGAATTGCACGAACCTAGCCGGCCGAAATTAGATAGCGTGATCGGCAGACTGAAGTAAGATCTGGAAATTATTCTGACGTTGTTACTCCAAAACAGCTCTTGCAGAAAAAGGGAAACTAATGTAGACCCTCTACTTTGTTGCAAACAGAGGTTGGAAGAGCAGAGGCGTTGGAGGACTGCCTCCAACAGCGTCACAATGGCCACCGATGTGTTGCAAGACACAGAGACCAAGACTGCAGAGTCGATGTCACAGGAGGAGGAGATGGAGCAGTGAAAATAGCCGAATGACAAGATGCAAAAGAAAGATAAGAAGCATTTAGAAGTTTTAGAAACTCTAAACGACAGAAAAAGAGAAAGAATTGAGCAAAGCCATAACAAAGAAGAGGGAATTGAAACTCAGAATTGTTTTGTGTGAAAAAATTTAAATGAAAAACCAAGCCAACTAAGCTTCAAATTGAAGCTGCAAGAAAGAAAACTTTTAGTGTTTTTTGTTTAAAATTTGTTGCATTTATAAATTTGCATTGCGATCTGAGCTAGTGTTTTTAAGGACACTAATTAATTGCTTAGAAAAGATTGAGCGCAGAGTCCAGCCTGCAACATTGTTTTCAATCAACTAGGCGAACAAAACAGTTTAGTTTGTGGTGACATGAAAGACTTGAGTAACCTCATAAAGAGGGAGGTAATTTCATTGCTACTTCTAACCAGGGAGTTTCTTAATTTTAACATTCAAAACAAATAAAAACTAAATTTCAGAAAGGAAAAAGTATAGTGGGATAATTTTATTTGTTGGCTGGCAAGACTCTCTTTCGTCCCAACTCTTTTTAAACCTTAGGAGAAGAAGTTTCAAGTTGGATAAGTCAGAAAAGATTTTTTAACTCAGGTCATATCTTCAGAGTGCAGATTAATGAAGATGTTAGTAGGCTATACCAATGTAGTATGATGCCATTTGTAGCACGTAGTAATGCGGATAAAAAGTGTTTTCAAGCATTTTGTAAATTTTGTACCATTCTGATGACCGTCTCGAAGTTCAATGAGGGCAATAACCTGGCTTTCTGGGTAGTGTGTGACATTCAACCAGAATGGCCTGACATGCATGGCTGAAATCAATTTTTATTTGGAGCATCTTACTGGGAGAATTGGTGGTTTCAAAGAATTGTATTCGAAAATATTTGCGGAAGAGCGTTCCGAATTGTAACGATTCTGCAGCTACAATCGTTACAGAGGAACTCCCGAGAATCAGGAGGGCTATTGGGAAGATTTTGATATCCTTCCTGTACTTCAAGAAGACAGCTCATTGACCGGATTCAAGATTCCGGAAGGGTCTCGGGAAAGACTGTATATACTGAGTTCTAAACAATTTTTAGCTTCCCGAAATATCCTGAAACGAAAAAAAAAATTACATCGAGTTCGTTTTCAGATAATGAGAATCTAGGAGTTGAGGGAAAAGGTTTTTTTCATCTCCAATGGATACGAAGACTTTTATCTACTGAACAAAAACAATAGTAATATGGTAATTAGAGAAGTAGTCCTGTTTTTAGGAGTGAACTCGTGGTCTGGACTGAGATCAGGCCCAGCCATGAGCTCACTGTTTTCTCATTAAACTAATTTAATTTGCGCGGCCTGGCCGATAGCTTTAAGAAAATGATTTTGTCGACTCGATGTTAGTAGACCACACTTTGAATTGGATTTGGTAGAGACAGTGAAAAGCATGTGAAGCTGTGTTTAGACGCTAGCCAGTCGTTTTAGAACCTAGCTTTTTTTCCGTCGTTATGTACTCCCGGGCGAAGGTTACCCAAAGGTATCACGAATTTTATTACGTCTTAGGTGAGTGAATCCACCTTTGGGGCAGTGTGAGAGTGGGTCAGTATGAACGGTTGCCCACGTGGGCATGTATGTGAAGTGTTTGGTGGTTCCCATCCATATCTGATATGAACCATCTTCAAACTCTGATTTTTCATAGGAAAAATTTTACTTTTTTAAGGGTAGCCCGCTTAACCAGTTCGATGTTCCTTCCTGTGATGCTAGATTTATTGTCAGCTTTTTTTTCTTATGAGCTGTTTTCCAAAAGTTTAGCCTTTTTTGAGAGTATAATATTTTGTAACTCAGTTTTGATTTTTCTTTTTTTTCAGAGTTTGCTCCAACTCAGTTCTTTCTGGATTACTGTTTTCTAACGGATCTCAAATGGCTCGTGACCACTCATAGTTTCTGAAAAAGTCCGTGCTTCTGAGGAAGTCTAATCCTCCCATTGTTAGTGGTAGTCAAGTTTCGGTTTTAGATTAACGAATTGCACGAGCCTAGCCGGCCGAAATTAGATAGCGTGATCGGCAGACTGTGCAGAGAACCAGAAATTAACCAGAATTTAAGTGGCACTAGGTTGAGTGTCATATAACCTATCTCAAATCAAATATTTTTCAAGAGGATCGAGACGGTCGCATCGAGAAAGAGGCAGAGTCGAGATAGTTTCAGAGGAGCAAGAGTATTATATAGTTGCTTATTTCAAAGATGGAACCAGGGTTGGCGATCAAACCCCAGAAAATCCAGGAAGAAAACAAGAGCGGCGGTCAAATCTGTTTGCTTAAGTTTCGACGCAAATGCAGTTTTTCCGACCTTTGAAACATTTAGACAGAAAGTAGAAGTAGGTCCCGTGGATTGAAAAAGTCAGAGCGAAGAGAATTATCAAAAAAGCTATTTTGAGAAATATATATGAAAAGTTCTCAAAAATAGCTCAAAATAAGCTGTGTTAAAGTATAGGAGCTAAGAGCTCGGATAGTCTGTAATAATCCGAATAAGGACCATTAAAAATACATGTTAACATTTTCTAAAATTGATTGAAAATCCGATCGCCAATCTATTACTGTCTCTACCTTCAAGTCCTCTGCCGCTAATTTGTTTGTTCAACTAGTCTTCAATCTGAATCCCTTCGACCGAAAACGGCGTGAAGATGATTAGTTTTGACTTGGTTGTAAATTTCCTGGTTTATTAGGTCAGTGAATGCGTTCAATATGACTGCATGAAAAAACCACTCACATTATTTCCACAGGAAAACAAACACTCAGGGAGCCAACTCGCTCAATAACTAATTGCTAAAAATATAAAATATTGTTTTCTTCAAAAAAAATTAGTAAAAAAAAACAACTTGATCAAAAAAATTTGAAAAACGATACATTTTTTTTGAGGAGAAAAAGATCAAAAAGTACTTTTTTCCATCTTTATTTTTAATTAAGCGTGCTTTGAAAGCGTATATGAGCTTGTTTAAAAATTTACGACATCGTTTTATTGAGTTTTTTTTTGTGACTTTTCATATCGATCAGTCTATGTAGCTAGATTTATACTTACTCGACGCTGGTGTTAAATGGAACTCTGTAATTTTATTGCTAGCCGGTAGGCTTTAATTGTCTCAATTGTTAAAAATCCTTTCTTCCTGTCTTTTCTAGATTTACGTAAGTGGGAAATGGTGCTTCGTGGATTAAAAAAAGGTCACAGAGAAATATTGAAAAATTGTGCTAAAAACAGAAGTTGACATGAACTGACACATATGTTACGGAAAATTATCAAGTGAATTCCGACCAAAAAAAGATTCAGTCAAGTTCCTTATATGTCTTGAACATTTACAATACTTTATATTTTCCAAATTTCCTTAAAAATTTTTGCCATTTTTTGGGGAAAAAATTGATCATTTTTGGAGGATAAAAATCTTTGGAATGAGTGAAGCGTTGCGGAAGAAGAAATTAGGACGGAGGTTTTGCGAGGCTTCGTCTCTGTAAACCTTTCTCTCTCATTCTATCACGCAGTCATATATCTATCTTTTCCCAATAAAAGGCACATAAACAGCTCCTTCGTACTATTTTTCCATGCTACACTTTTGTGTATATATAACACGGTGCGGATTTGCCTCAACCTAAAGCCCGTTACCGTAAATCTGCCTCTCTCTCTCTCTCTCTCTCTCTCTTTTGCCGTTGTAGCTATAAGCTAGCTGCTGCTTGCTGCCTCTCTCCTGTTCCACCGGCTTAAATGGTGTTCAACTAAGCATTATTTGAGTATTTACACATTGCATAACCCCTTATAAATTTTTAAACAAGCTCATATACTCTTTCAAGGCACGCTTAATAAAAAGGAAGATGGAAAAAGGTACTTTCTGAGCGAGCCTCAATGAACGCTCCTACATTTTATCCCCCGTCAAAATATTTTCATAATAAACAAAAAATAATCCCAATTGTGTTTACATTGCAAAATTCGCCTTCATTTGCACATGAACAAAGATATTATTTTTCATCTTTCGCCAACCACGTTTGTGCATTTTGATTACAAGTCGCTCTTGCGTTCAATATCTTCTGAAAAGATAAACAGACCATTTTTCACGCTTTCCTTATTTCCATGCTCTAATTGTTTTGAGATTGTACTTTTTTATCCAATGGGATTACCAAAAACGTACCGAGCAATATGGCTGATGTACATCAATAAAAATTTTGCATTCGATTTCTCATTTTGAGGAGATATTCTTCTGTTCAGCTTACCAGAACAGAGTGAACGAAATCTAAAACATACTGAGAGAGGCGAGGGAGCTCTAAAAGCTAAAAGCTACCGCATCCATCTTCCGCTCAAAAATCTCAGAGAGGAAAATAGAACTCGATCTATTTCTGTGTCAGCAGGGGATATTTAGTTTGAAACATTTCCGCATTTGCCTGTGATTTGTTCAAATCGTCTTAATTTCGACTCAACGTGACCCATCAAAATGTTCTGCCATCTTTTTTCCAATAAGAGGAAATGCGAACAGTCAATGAATTAAATGGCCCGAAGCACAAAGTATCGATCCGGTCGAGTTTTATAAAATGCCATTGTATCACTTGATGAGCTAAAGGCATCATCAGATACTTCATTCCTGAATAAAACTAAGGATCGTTTTAGTAATCATGCAAAAAAGACACTGTTGCTTACTTTTCAACGAGTAATACAAACCTAGTTATGATGTCTCTTCACCGTTATCTTCCAAGCTGTGTGCAGTCGGGCGGTCTGCAGACGCTCCGGGATCTCGTGTGTTGTTCTTCGTCTCACCAGGTGTCCCAGAACAACATGCTACTCCTAGGAGTGGTGCAGATGGTCATTGGGGTCCTCATAGTCGGCAGCTCCTTCAGCGCCTTCTTCCTGTCCAACTTCCCAGCTGCCATCCACAACACTAGTCCCTACTGGGCCGGACTCTCTGTTAGTAATTAACCTCAACTGCATTGAACCAATTCTTTGTGCTCAAATTCATTTTTAAAAACTTAGATAAAGATTATTGAATCCTCGGAAAACTTGACATTTTGAGCCTTCAAAAAATAAGGAGTGTGCACGGTCTTTTTTTTTTAATTTGTTTCCGACCATTGAAAATGGGTAGGAACTTTGTATTCTGGTGTGTTTAAGTTTTTTTGTCAACTTTTTATTTTCCACGCAAAATCAGCTACCACAAATAATCATTGGACAGGGTTGAGTGTTAGGTAGTTAGTAATTGCAATAGGTTTTTTAAGCTTATTTTAAGACTTGAAAACTTAATTTGACTCAAATAAAGGTAGTTTTTGGAGTTTATTAGCGCAATTTTGGGAATCAAAAACTTGAAAATTCAAAAAGTTTCCGCAAAAATTTGTCTTGTCTTTTTTCTTCAAAAACTGTTTTCCAATTGCATTATTTTATAATGGCTGTTAAATATGCCTAAGTTCTATTTTTTTTATCACAACATCAGAAAAAAATGACAGCAATTTGAGAGAACATTTTTGTATTTTTGTAAGACTGTGGTAGGAACATTCTGTGCTACTTGCACAGTAACCGACTATCCTTGTTCAAAAATTGAATTTTTTCGTTATCTTACCTACTACTACTCCTCATTCCTTTATTTTTCACCTACTTCGGCCATCCTGTACAAAAACAAGAAAATGACAGGAATTTGAGTGAAAAAAGCAGAATCTTCTAGGACGAGCTGTCAGCTCTTAAGTGTTCTAAATAGAGGTTGCAAGAGGTTGCATTCTAGATTTTAGGGAGAGCAAAAGTAAAATGCGATTTTTTGGTAGAACTTTTCCAAAAATTCTCAGAAATTTTTTCTTCACGTTTTTCAAAAACTTGCATTAGATAATCTTATCTAAAATTAAAAAATTTTGCCTGTTTAACTAGTTTTCGAATGTATATTTTATTTTGCTGAAGCTGATGAATATTGAAAAAAATAATGAGATGTTTTTTTCCAAAAAACTATCCCTCTTTTTCAAAAAAAAACATTACTTGAGTTGAAGGTTGTTACATCTTTCTATGATCAAGTAAAACTCTTGATCTTCCGCATATGGCTTGCCAACCAACTGAAGTATTACAACCTGAATTTTAACGAACAGTTAGTAAAATAGTCACGCGCTCGTCATGTTAATTTTTTGAGTTCTTCGGAAACAAAGATTTTATTCAACGGTAGCGCTTGGCAACAAAAAAGTTGTTTAAGGGCTCCATTTGGCAAGTTTTGAAGTCCAGATTTTTGAGCTTTGGCCCAATTATAGCGCAAGTTGGCGTCAAAATTGATTTTAGAAAGAGTCATCTGTTTAGTCATTCAGTTAAAACTGGAAGTAAAATCAAACTCGACGAAGAAAGGGCAGTTTTTATATTGAAGGGCAGTTTTTATCAAATATTTTATATCAAATATTGAAGGGCAGTTTTTATATGCTCAAAGCGCATTTAGGATTAGGGAAAACACACCCGCTTGGAAACATTTAAGTTTTGGGATAGTTACCAACTCTTTAATTTGTTTTCAAAAGCTGGTCTGGTTGAAGAAAACCAAACCAATCAAGTATATTTTGCACCCTCGTCAAAAATCGGAGTATATATCAGCTATATTTTTCCCTCTGATTTTAAATCTCAGTTGTCACAGGTCAATCACAAAAGTCGAGAAAAAATTTCAAAAACTGTGACAGATTACTTTTACATGGTTGGTTTTTTCAATTTTTTCAAAAATGAAAGATATATCTTTTCAAGCTTTTCGTAATTTGTGAAAAAGAAGAAAAAAACTGAATATTTTTATCATTTGTTTTTAAATTGTTTTTGATCACTTAGATTTTTTCAACAATTATTTCATATAGTATCTACCAAGAGTCCATTACGCTTTATATTAATTGAAATGAAATGGTATTTATCTAAAAATGCAGCATTTCAAGCATTATTCAAGGTTCAGTTTTTTTTGTAATATAAACGCTACTGCTATTGAGAGCTTTCTAATTTTCGAGAACTTTATTTTTGCAGCAATTTGATTTTTGCAGCGATAGTATAACAAGCACAATTTTTTTTCTTAAATCGACTTAAGATTTTTCTGCTCCTTGTCTTCGAAGTGGAGATAGTTTTTGAGTGACTCCGATCTTAAAAAAATTTAAACCGAGATTTTTTTGTCGATTTCGAACCGCATTTGGACCATTCAGAGATTTGCTCCATTTCCGGCAGTCTTATTTGCTTTATCATTTTTTCGATAACGCTCGGATTTCCTGAATGAAAATATCAAATCTAATTTTAGGAATTCAAACATATGATATGTCCGGAAATCTTAAAACTTATCTCGTAATTTTTACTCAACCCAACTTAATAATGAAAAAAAATTTTGTCTAGCAAAAATCAAAAATTGATATTAAATAAATTTTAAATTTAATAAATATTATATCAATATTACAAAAATTGAGATCAGAAAAATATTAATTTTTTTGAATAGTTTTCTTATGTAATATAAAAACTAATATTGTATCAATCTTAAGGCGGCAGCGCGCGTCAAGAAATGCTATTTTTGGTGAGGTTCGTTTAAAAAGGGCTCAAGAAATGCATTTTAGGCACTTTATTTTAAGAGAGGTCGTAAGACTAATACGGTTGATTTAAAAATGGACGATAATAAATGTTCGACTCGAAGAAAGAAAACAAGAAGGACGACAAAAAAGAGCGAAAAAAGGACGATAAAAAAGGGCGACAAAGGACAAGAAAAGCTCAGATCCATCACTGGATGAGTAATTAAAATCATAAAAACAGTTTTATGATTTAAATTATAAAACATATGAGTAATTAAAATCATAAAATCATTTAAAAAATCATCAAATTGAGTTAGGACCGAGTTGGTTAACTCATAGAGTAATTTCGGATAGGGTACACCGTCTGCTCGTCACGCTATCTTATTTTCGGCCGGATAGATTCGTGCAACTTCTTAGTCTAATACCGATCCTAATCTTACTCTTATACTATCTAGTCTCAGGTTGTTTAACTAGTCTCTGCTAGGCTCAATAGATCTAGGGTATACTGGTCTATTGCGGCTGTTGAAGTGCTCGGGAGAGTCCAACTAATTTCTAAGTTAAATTCAAATCTCTCTGGTGCTGAAATTACAAGTAACTTCAGCACTTACAAATAAGTGGGTTGTTCGTTAGATGGATCATGATTGGTTAATATTAAATACTTTACATTGGTAAAACATTTAATTTATCCAATCATAAAATGTAGTTTAGATCAGGTTCCACCCATCCGGGTTTTACAGAGTTTTTTAGAATAGTTCTTCTGCAATTCGAAGGATGGATGATGGACATTTGTTTTTGGCGAACATCATAATTTTCTTCCGTTTCCTCTTTTGTTAGGGAAGTTCCAGGAAGCTGGAGTTAGAGACATAAGACGTTGTGTTCTTCTTGTGACAACGACTAAGTCTTCGCAACAAACTCAAATCTGATTTCAGAATGGTTGGCTATGTCAGGTTTTTCTGTTCTTCGTGGAGAACTTCTTTTGTGTCTGATCTAGCTTGGGAATGGCGTGGAGATTGTGCGTGGAGGGGATGCCTGGTTACTCGGATCTGTACGTATACTTGAACATCGAGGTGGTCATTGGTCTAGTTCAATGAAGTCCTTTTCTGCGAGGTCAAGTCGTACTCTAAATCCTTTGAGTTGTGATTGTGAGCGGCATAACGATTGTAGTTGGTCATTCTCTCTCGAGTGTAGTGGGGTCGTCTTGTCTTTTGATGTTCGTCCTTGGTGTTGTATTCTGATCTATATATTGCATCATGTGATTTTACATTTTATAAAACTTTTATTAGTTTAATATTTTTTAATAATGATTTTAGTTAGTTGTTTTCACAAAAGCTTTTTGTTTTAGTTCGGTTATTTTGAAGAGTTACTCACCCTTGAGTAGCTCTTATTAAAAATAGAGGTGTGGTCACAAAGCGTGGATGTAGCGCGGTGGGTTAGGCCGGCTATAGAGCATGCTCAGGACGTCCTTCCTGGTGGGTTTAGGCCAGGAGTGGGAGTATGATTTCATGCGGTTTTTGTGAGGGGTCCTGTTATGTGACAACGTTTTATGTTGGGTTTGTTGTGGTTTTTCTTATGTCTTGTTGGTTATGTCCTTTTTCCAAAAATCAAATTGTTTGTGGTATGGGTTTGTCTTTCGACTTTTTTGTGTTTTATTATTTCTTTCTTAGACTTTATAATAGTCTTCAAAAGAATAAATTATCCAGTTTTAAACTGGGTTAATCCGGTTTGGGTACCGTTGGTTTCCTTTTCTTAGTCATGCTGTTATTCTATGATTTGTGGTATTTAGTAAGCTGCGTTGGTTAGTTTTGTTTAGTATATGATTCCTTTCCAACCGGGTTAAAGGAAAATTTGAAACATGTTATTTTATGTTAGAGTTGTTGAGTGTGAAAACTTGAAACTGAAATTCATTATTTTAAACAATTCTTCGTGGGCGAGCTGTGCGAGTGTGGATAGAATTTCTGTGCGAATAAATGAAAATATCAAAAGGTTAGTACAGCATTTGCATTTATTTAATTTACTACATAGAATTTAGAAATTTACTGCTAGTCATGGGGGAATATTAAGATACAAATTTTCATCATAATTAGATTTACTGCTTTGGGGGAAAATATTATAGATGAATTTACTGCATTGATATTAAATTTAGAAATTTATAAGTGTAAGAGATTAATATAATTTTAAAATTGTTTGATGAAAATTGTAATTTTTATTGTTTCTTTTGTGGTTTTTGTAGGTGATTGTCGGATGAAAGCTAAAAATCTAAGGAAAACATGAATAAAGAATGGTGAGTTTTTAATACTGTAATTAGTTAGTAATATTTACTTAATTCATACTTACCTGTTAGTCGTCGGGGAAAAACCGTGGGGGAAGATGTCGTGAATTAGTTCTGAAGTTGTTAGTAGTTTAGCTAGAATGCGGATGATATTTTTAGTC